TGTGTATTTTTTTATACTAAACAAATTTTACTTAATAATTAAGCTTAGTTTACTTAATAAAAAATTAAGTTGAATATGTACTAAAAATTAAAATTGATATTTATACTAAACCTCTATTAAAAACTAGGTTTTAGTACAAATGAAAAAATTCTAAAATTTTTTAAACTTAATTATTTCAAAAAGTACTGTATAGAATTTTATATTTTTTTTTTTATTTGAAAGCTTTAGATTTGAATAATATTTTATATAATTTTTAGCTTTATATCTTGTTTATTTAGGTCAATATAAATTTTTAAAAAGTGTTTATAATAATATGGTACCCTACTATACTATGGTAAAACGAATGAAGATAGTAACACAAAAGATAATACAAATGCTAAAACTCTATATAACGTCGATTAAATATTTTAATCATAGCAGGTTTGAACTTGTTAGATTCAGGAATTTGATAGATCGCAACAGCTAACTTAATTATACAAATAAAACAGGTAGCTAAAGATGCAGTACTGCTTTCTAATATGTTGATGCAAGATTTTATTAGTTTCTAGATAGATTTAATTTGTCGGCACATAATAAAAAAATCTTCATTATATAATAAATTAAAGATTTCATTATTTGTAACCATATTTAAATGCTTATCCAGAATCTATAAATATATATTATTATATATTACTAAAGTATATACAAGTTTTTGTATAGAAAAAAAAAATTAAAATAACATATCCAGTCAAATACGGGACACACAACTAGAATAGAATTAGTTGTATTATATAATGATCCCCAATGAGTTTGATACTATGATTCTAGACCCTCTGACTTGATTTTTATATTGGCTAATCCTTGCTGTAATAATGCTAACTTCTGTGGCGATTTATTAAAAAATTTTACCAATTTTTCATATTGACCAATAAATGCTTTTATTTTAGCAAGTTTTGTCAAATCCACAGCAATTAAATTGATCACATATGTGATACACCAGAAATTTAAAATATATTTATATTTGTTTTATATTTTTTCTCTTGCAACTCGACAATTCGAAGCTGCATCAGTAACAATGACTATAAACTTATTAGGACCAATTTGTTCAATGATATTTGAGATCTCTAAAGCTAAAAAATCGCCGGTGTGAGATTCTGTAGAATAATTTCTTAATGAAATTAAATATTCTTTTCTTTCCCTAGTTATTATAATATAATTATATATTGATTTACTATGTTTAGAAATCTATCTGTCAAAAGCTATATTATAAAAAAAATATTAATTAAAATATCAATAAAGATTAATATACTGTAACCCATATTTAGTATAACTAGTATTTGCAGAATTTTAAAATAAAATATATATATGCATACTTAATGTTAGATATTCAGCATTTTCTAATTCATTATCTATAGCATTCTGCATATGAGCCAATTCTTTATTTAGTAGCCATTCAGATAATGTTGTATATGATAGTAATACATAAGCCAGATTATGAGCTTTAAATAAATCATATGCGCTGATTTTGTAATTAGCAATAACTTTGCTAATTACAAAAATCAGTGCATATATCTCTAACAAATGGATTCTTAACAACTTCAAATGGGATATTAATAACAATCCAAGCCTTCAAAAGCAATCTATCATAATCATTACTAACTTGTACAGGTAAAATTGATTTTAAATATGAATTTCTTGAATATATACTATTATTTTCTACAAGTTTATTGCACCAATATTTTCAAATATTTTCAGGTACATTGGAGCAATCATTTGCAAGATAAGCTTTTAAACTACATGGTTTACTCTTGGTCAAGACTTGTTACAATAATAGTATATAGCTTTATAATGTCTAGAATTTACTTGTTCATCCTTTATAAAATAACTCTATACTTCATCAAATATAGTACCACCTTTTTTGGTGGTCGTTTAGCAGATTCAGATAGCTCAGAACTATCATTCTCATAGACACGTGAACTAGATTCTGAAACTTCATTAGCATAATCATGTAAAGAAACTTTCTTATAGATGCGTGAACTAGACTCTGAAATTTCATTAGCATAATCATATAAAGGAACTTCCTCATATAGAGACATTTGTGTGATTTTCTTTATTGTTTTAATTTATTAATTATTTATAATGATATTTAAATGAAAGACAATTAATTAGACTATAATAATAGGTACAAAAAGATTTATGTCACTGGTTATATTCTGCTGTAAAGACATATCAACATGTCTTTACAATAGAACTTAATTCAGTGATATAAATCTTTCTGCGTCTATTAATTGGACTTTAAAATAATAACTAGGCTTCTTATTTATAGTGATGCCAATTATACGTTGATTATATCATTTGTCTATTACATCAGCGATGTAAACTTTTGTGTTTTATTACAATATTAACAATACTAAGAAATTTCTCTAGCTCTATAAAAATGTTGTTCTGTATTTATTATTCTATATTTTTTCTATGAATATTTCATTTTTATGGAATTTATAATCTAAAATTATTGAAATTTTCATCTCTCTAATACAGATATCCATAAATAAATCATTTTCATAGAATTTTTATAGCGGCAACAGATAAATAGTAGAAATATTTAGATAAAATTTTTTATAGAATAGTTATGTCAGTTATATTAATTATGGCAAGTCTCTTAGGTTACATCAATTATATCAGTTATGGCAAATGACAACTAATACTACTTGCATCATTACAACACTTTTGACTTAACGATGCATCAAGTTGATGTATCTATACGTCTTCCAATTTCTGCATCTATAGTTCTAATAGAATAATTATCTAACAATCTTTTCCAATTGTTAGAGTTAGAAGCAGGTTGCTTTTTAGCCATATTAATATTTTAGTAATAGGGTAATAGTGAACGATTAAATCTGGGTCTCCATCTATCTTGACTTTGGTCTCTAGATCTGCTTCTGTAATTTCTGTCTCTAGATTGACTTCTATCCCTATAATTTCTATTACGAGATTGACTTCTATCTCTATTTCTTCTATTATTATTGTTATTATAATGGTTATTATTATTCCTCCTATTATTATTATTGTTAGTTCTTCTCTCATTATTTCTGTTTTTTTGATTATCATTATGTCTTTTTCTATAGTCAGCAATAAAATGTTCTAGATTTCCACAATAATAGCAAAGAGCTCTATCCTGAATAAAGTTGTTATAGCAAGAAAAACCAGATTCTCTTTTCAGCTATATAAGCAGGTTTTGGTTGGGTTCTGGTTGCTGTTGAACCATGTTAATAGCTAATTTGTTAAAGTGGCTAGTAAGGTTACTAATGGCATTCATTACTGGGTCTTCTGCTGAAGCTATTAATCTTCTAGTTTCCTATTGTTTGGCAGTAGTAATAACAGTGTCTAAATTTCCTGAGGATAATGCTTGAACAGGAATAGCATATTCAGATCACAATCTTTTAATAAAAAGCTGAACAATGAAAGGATCAGGGAAAGCATGCTCTGGTCTAGGTTTACTTTCTTTTGTAGTTTCTTAAACTGGGTAGCATAGGTATCTACAGTATTTGTTTCTTGTTTTAGATTGAAAAATTCTTGTTGCCATATAGCTCGCTTCTTGGTAGTCATGAATTGTTTCAAAAATTTTACTTTGAATTGATTATCAGCATCATTAGTATCATATTGTTGAATTTTTTCTCCTATTCACTTTAACCAACCTTCTGCATTGTTATACATGTAGGTTTTAGCAATAGCAAGCTTTCTAGCAGCACTCCAGTTATTGGCAGTAGCAGCTTGTTCAAATTTATTAATCCAATCGATAGGGTCCTCAGTACTATCTCTTCTAAATGGTTTAATCTTGATAAAAGATTTTTCTGCTCCTCTTTCTCTTCCAATAGCTTTAGCTAATTAGGTCATAGCTTGAGCAGCTTGTTCTAAGTCACCCATATTTGCTTCTTCTTCAGTATCTGAACTATCTAAATTTAGTATTTGTTTGAAAGCTATTTGTTTGGATAAGGATAAGAAACTTTGTTCGAATAAATTTTCTGTTTCTGGCTATTCAAAATAGTCTAAATCTTCTTAAGAGAGATAATTGTAGGTAGTGGTTGTTTTAGGGAGTTGAAGATAAAGTGAAGAGTAAGTAGAAGTTGAACTAGAGATATCTAAAAGATCAGGATAAAAGTATTCTGGTGGTGGGCTAGGGGTTTTAATTAGTAGATAAAGAGATTGATAGTTCTGCTCAAATGAATAGGTAGTTGTAGTAATTTCTTTATCTATAGTATGTACTAGTAATACAGTAGTTTTTTCTGTAATTGAAGCTTTAGTATTAACAGATTGAGTATCTTCTTATTGGGTTTCAGAAGTAGAAGAAGATCTGGTTCGTCGAGGACTAAGAGAGATTATAGTTTTGAAAAATTTCTGAACAAGTCGAGGTTGTGGAGTAGGTGATGGAGTTGCTCTTTCTAAATTACTTTCTGAATTATCAGATGAAGTTAAAGATTCTTCTCATCTTTCTAATTAAGTACTAGAAGTAGAAGCTGAAGTAGAGGCAACAACAGACTCGTCTATATTAATAACAATATTAGGAGAAGATAGAGATAAAACAGGAGTGACAATTTCTTCTAAAGTTTGTTGTTCTTTATTCTGATATAATGTTTGAATATAAGATTGAGTGGTAGTAGAATTATCAATGAAAATATCATAGTGATTAATATAAGTATTGGAGGCTTTACAAAGATTATAGTAAGAGATATATTTTTGAAAAAGAAGTTGGACAGTTGGTCAAGGTGCAAGTACTGTTTTCTGATATTGGCAGCTAAAGATAATATTTCAAACAAGTATATGAGCTATTGTTTGGTCTGCAGTAGCTAGCTTTTGAAAGTTAGAATAAGTAGCTAGACTATATTTTGTAGTATTATAGACTTGGAAATACCAATTTCAAAATTTACCAAAACGTCCACAAAGGGTAAGCTTTGTAGAATAACACTGGGTACAAATTAGATCAGGTGCAATAGATTGAATAACAGTAATAGCAAGTGAGGAGTTATCAATATAGACTTGTCTGTGCTTTTAAATATTATCTGAATAGTAATGAGTTAACAAATCTTCCATAAAAATTAAAATATCTTTAGAGAAGATTAGTAGTAACAAAATGATAAAACGATAAGAAAGTTAAATGAAATAAATAAAAGAAATAAAATAAATCAAAAGGGTTGCTAGCAAACAAAGTAAAGAAAGAAAATTTGCGAATAAGACAAAATAAAATAACTTGAGTAAAATAACAAAATTTCAAAATTTTTAAACAAAATATGTGTATAGCTGATAAAAAAGTTAGTAGCAGTAGGAGGTGAAAGCATAAACTCCGCAACAATACAATTTCAAAATATAATTTAATAAAGTACAATATTAGTAAAGTTAGTAGAGTGTATACCAAAAAAATAATTCCTAGGATGCTTTTTTAATAGCTTTTACTGCTTCAAGAGAGTTGAAATAGTTTCTGCAAGAAAGTTTCCTTTCAAAGAGAGGGAGAAAGAGAGGTTTGCTTCCAAGGGAAAATAAATTTTGTTCCTTACAAAATTTTATATTTCTGCCAGAAGGCACCAAAATATTACAAGGCTATAGTCTTCTTAGTAAAATACAACTAAGTAACAAGATCACCTAATATAATGATTGATTTTTGCAAATATAGGGGTCGCTTAAAGCCAGGTACATCACGAAATTTTCTGATAATCGATGATTATCAGGTAATTACAGGATATATGATGTTTAATCATACATAATCTAGCTGCTCAAGACAATGAATTTTTTTTTGTTTACGAAATTGCAGCATTAAAACATCTCTTTAAGATAATAATACCAAGATTTTTTTTCGTAACTACAAGAGAAACTTTTTT